TCCAAAGAATTAAAAATGCAAATGCTGAGGAACACTATCAGCCTAACTAGCAAAAACCTGTTTTAAAAAATGAAGAATAAGAATAGAGAAAGAGAGATGACGTTTTGTAAATAACTTAACTAGAGTATATTTCAGGCAGAAATAGTCTATAAGTGTATACACGTACAGAAATCACTACTCATACATAAATAAAGCAAAATAATACGACGAAAGAAAACTCCTAAAAAATCCTTCTTAAAACCAAAAAAAGCATACAGTACCTACGTCTTGGATAAACAAAACCCTCAGCCAGATTGAATTTAAAAGGTAGTAAAAAAAAATAGTTTGCCTAAAGATTTATTTTTATTTCAATCGTATGGGGGGGTGAAAATAATAACAAAAGGGTAATAGTACGTAATAATTAAATAATTATAACCCTAATTCAGAGTTGAATGTAAGAGGTTAAGCAAAAAAACTAATAGGAAATTGTAAAATATTAAGAAGTAATAAAAAAATGTTTCTCATAAGTCAGAAAGAGAAACACACAGCAAACAATGATCAGGTAAATAAAACCTTCAGTCAGATTTGAATTTGGAAAGTAGTTAACCAATAAAACTAACCAGAAATAACAAAATAAAGCAAAATAATAAAAAAGAAGAGGAAAACAGAAATCTAATTTTTTGCAAGTTAGAAAAAGAAATACACAACAGGCAATGAATATATAAATAAATCTAAAAGCCGGAATTGAATTTAGTAGCTAGGAAGGCAAAAAAACTAATAAGAAATGGCAAAATATAGTAAAAATAATAAGAAAATAGTAAACAATGAAAAAGGTTTCTCGTAAGTCAGAAAGAGAAATGCACAGAAAACAGGGATCACGTAAATAAAACCTAGTCAGGTTTGTATTTAGAAGATAGTTAACCAATAAAACTAAAACAAAATAACAAAATAAAGCAAAATAATAAATAAAGAGGAAAACAGAAATCTAATTTTTCGTAAGTTTTTCATAATGACAAAATATAGTGAAATATTGGAAAGAATAAACAAAGAAAGGTTTCATAAGTGGGAAAAAACATACACAGCACGTAAGACACAGATAAATAGAACTTTAAGCCTGAGTTGAAGTTAGAAATTAGTAAAGCAGTAAAACTATTAAGAAATAGCAAAATATAGAAAAATAATAAGAAAATAATAAACACAGAAAAAGGATTCCCATAAGGCAGAAAGGGAAACACACAGCAAACAAGGATCAGGTAAACAAAACCCACAGTCAGATTTGAATTTAGAAGGTATTTAACTAATAAGAAATAACAAAATATAGCAAAATAATAACTATAGAGAAAAACAAAAATATATTTTTTTGTAAGTTAGAAAAAGGAATACACAAAAGGCAAGGATTACAGAAATAAATCTAAAACCGGAGTTAGTGAGTCCATAAAACCTAAGGGAAATAACAAAATATTGTGAAATAATAGGAAAGAATAAACAAAGAAAAGGATTTTTCATAAGTTGGGAAAAAACATACTCAACACATAATACATAGATGAATAGAACTTTAAGCCTGAGTTGAATTTGGAAAGTAGTAAAGCAGTAAAACTAATAAGCAATGGAAAATATAGTAAAATAATAAGAAAATAATAAACAAAGAAAAAGGTTTCTCTTATGTCAGAAAGAGAAACACACAGCAGACAAGAATTAGATAAATAAAACCCTTGGCCAGAGTTGAATTTATGACGGTGTGAATAAATAAAACATATAAGGCAAAAACGAAATGAAGTAAGATAGTAAGAAAATAGTAAATAAATGAAGAGAAGAAAAAACACACCAAGACAGTAATAGATAAATAAATCCCTCAGAATTATTTGAATTTTAAAAGGTGATAAGCAACATATCTAATAAGAAGTAACAAAAAAAATTAAAACTGGGTAAACAAAGTAAAAGATATTTCATAAATCAGAAATGGAAACGCACAGCAAGCATTAGATAACCCTCAGGCAAGGCTAAATTAAAGACGGAGTGAATAAATAAAACGTAAAAGGCAAAAGCAGAATAAAGTAAAATAGCAAGAAAAGGGTAAACAAAGAAAAATATTTAATTATTAAAATAGATCCTCGGTGGGAGTTAAATAACCGACACATAAAACAGCAAAAAATATAGTAAAATAATTAGGAAAGAGTAAACAAATAAAAAGACTAAATGAGCACAAAGAAACACACAGAAAGAAAGGGCTGGATAAATAGAACCCTCAGCCTACCTTGAATTTAGACGGAAGGAGAGCAATGAAAGAAAACTACAAAAAGAAAATATAGAAAAATAATTAGAACAAGTAAATAAACAAAGCTTGTTGAGAGCAATGTTGCTTAAATGAAAATGAGCGATGCAAAAGATTTTTCGTTTGCTAAACTTGAGCAAAGTGAAGTTGAACCTGAACCCTAAAGAATGGACACGCGGACCAGGAATAATCGAAATAATGGCACATCACTGATTAGTCATACTTTTTCCTCATGTTCCACCCTTGGCAGATTACCATAATTTCCCATGACACGTACCCCCCAGGAGCGTCCAAAAGCAAAAATTATTGTCTTTTTCCCTATCGGCCGATGCATTGTGTAAAAACGCATTTTGCATTAATTATATAAATACAATTTGATTTAATAAAAACCTTTTGATAATTTATAATATAAATTTTCTCAGAAAAATCGACTGCTGGAACTAATTAGCCGCATGTTTTTTCATAGTTTTCCTATTTAGTGACTTAGTTTCTTTAAGACATTTGAATATGCTCAACTTGATGTTAATTACGATTATTAAAATTTTTAAAAAATTGCTAAATTTAATCTTCTTGCCGCACACGTCTAAGTGTCTACTAATTTTATATAGCTTTTTTAACTTGTTCTTATTTTTCCTTAGCCAATACACAATTTTATCGAATTATTGGCAGCTGAACCAGCACTTCACGTATACTCTATGTACAATCTTTTCTTTTTATTTTACTATATTTTGTTTTTACATTCATGGTTTATCTAATGGCTTGGTGTGTGTTCCTTTATCTTATTTAAATTTAACTTTGGCTAAGGTTTTATTTATTTAATCATTGTCTTCGGATCTGAGTTAAGAAAAATAGTTTTCTTTGTTTAGACTTTTCTTATTAATTTGCTGTTTTACGTTTGTTATATTGCTTTATTACCTCGAGAATTATTTATCTAATTCTTGCTTGCAGTCCTTGTTTTCATCTGAAAAATAACCTCTTTATTTATTTATTATTTTTTATTACTTAACTACATTTCGATCGTGCCTTTGAAGTTTTCCTTATTCACACCGTCCTATCCTAATTATTATGTGCTGTGTGTTTCTCTTTCTCACTCATGAAAATATTTTTTCGTTGTAGTTTGCTTGCGCATTTATGTTTCATTGCTTCACTATCTTTTAAATTTAACTCTAGCAGGGGGTTTTATTTATCTAATCCTTGCATGCTGTGTGTTTTTCTCATTAAACAAATCTTTTTGTTTAGTCTTTTCTTATTGTTTTACTATTTTTCCCATTTCTTAATAGTTTGATTTACTACCTCTTAAATTTAACTCAGGCTTAAGTTTTTATTTATTTATGTCTTATGTGCTGTGTATATTTTTTCTCACTTTTCTTTGTTTATTCTTTCTTATTATTGCGCTGTATTTTGTTATTTCCTTTAAGTTTTATTGCCTCACTAATTCAAAAATTCAACTCCGGCTTTTGGATTTCTTTATATAATCCTTTCTTTGTGCCTATGTCTGATGAAAATTATATTTCCTTTTTCTTATTACTTTGCTATATTTTGTTATTGCCTATTAGTTTAACTGCTGCACTACTTCCTAAATTTAACTCAGACTTAAAGGTTTAATTAACTATTCCTAATTTTTTGTGTGTTTCTCTTTCTCACTTAGGAAAAATTCCTTTATTGCTTACACTTTTCCTATTATTTTTATGAATTTTATTTTTGGCTTTTATGTTTTATTTTGTTCACACCGTCATAAATTTCAATCTGGCTAAGGATTTTATTAATAAAGTCCTTGTCTGCTGCGTACTGCCTACCTACCTAAGTAGTACCTTTTTCTGTGTTTACTACTTTGTTTACTATTATTTTTATTATTTTCCAATATTTCGCCATTTCTTATTATTTTTACTGCTTTGCTGCTTTCTAAATTCAGCTCAGGCTTAAAATTCTATTTATCTATGTCTTTATGTGCTGTGTATGTGTTCCCACTTATAAAAAAAACTTTTTCTTTGTTTATTATTTTCTAATTATTTCGCTATATTTTGTTATCCCCTTTAGGTCTTATTGACTCCCTAGCTACTAAATTCAACTCCGTTTTTGGATTTATTTGTCTAATCCTTGCCTTTTGTATAATACTTTTTCTCATTTACGAAATTTGTTTTCCTCTTTTTTTTATTATTTTGCTATTCTAAGGGATTTATTTATCTAATTACTGGATTGCCGTGTTTCTTTTTCACTTCAAAAAATCTTTTTATTTATTTACTATTTTGTTATTACAATATTTTACTATATTTTTTGCTTTATATGTTGTTTTTTATTCATGTCTTTTTGTTTTAGGGTTTTGTTTTTACCTGTGCCTTTTGTCTTATATGTGTTTATGAATTTTTGTTTTTTACTCTTTTGTTATCACTTTGCGATATTTTTTTTCATTTCGTACTCATTTTCCCTTATTAACTATTAATTAATTAACTAATAACTTCACTGCCTCCTAAATTCAACTCCTCTTATGTGCTGTGTGTTTCTCTTTCTCACTTCTAAAAAATGTTTTAATTCACTTTTCTTATTGTTTTGGTGCATTTTGTTTTTGCAAATATTTTATTACTTCACTGCCTCCTAAAATGATAAATTAAGGTAAAACTCTACGAGGGAGCCACTTTGGGACAATATTATTCGAATAAAATACTTATTTAAGAATTTTCTTGATTACAACTCATTATTTAATTGGTTTTTGTTCTTATTAATTAATTATTAATTATTTTTATTGTTTCAGGTGACAGACACGAACGACAACCCGCCAGTTTTCCTCGAGTCCGTGTACAGTTTCGACGTGAGCGAGGAGACGGGTCGAGGAACCAAAGTCGGTTCGGTCTCCGCCAAGGATTCAGATCTCGGATTGAACGGTCAAGTTTCCTATTCGGTCATTTCCGACTGGGCCAACGACATTTTTTCTCTCAATCCTCAGACCGGGGTGTTTACGCTGACGGCACGTCTCGACTACGAAGAGGTGAGCGACTTTTTTTTCCCCCCAATAAGATATTGCCGACTCGGGCAGACTATCGTGGAAGAAATTTTTGCATTCCACCGGACGCGCTTTTTCTTTCATCTGAACTTTGTGTGCTTGCAGTTACTTAAATTTAAATCGTACTCTTTACGGTTATTAACGAATATTCCAAGCTGATCAATAAAGATCAATACACAAGTTTGAAATGATGCTGAGCCAGCACTGGGTCCATCTTCACTCGGGGGTTTGCTGAATTATTCAAACTGTTTTCGAAAATTCCTCACTGAAGATGGCGCAATTATTATTTTCTTATTATTTTACTAAGTTCTGTTTTCCCTATTATGTTTTATTTATTCACATAGAAATAAATTTAACTTTGGCAGAGGTTTTATTTATCCAATCTTTGTTTGCTCTGTGTTTCTTGTTATCTTTAACAAAAGCTTTATTTATTCACTCTTTGTTTTATTTTACATCTTTTTTTCATTGGTTTCATTGTTTCACTAATTCACACATGCCACTCTGGCTGAGGTTTCATTTATCCAATCTTTGTTTGCTGTGTGATTCTTGTTCTCTTTAAAAAATCTTTATTTGTTTACTCTTTTCTTATTATTTTACTATATTTTGTTTTTCCCCTTTAGGTTTTATTTATTCACACCACCGTACTCTGGCTGAGGTTTTATTTATCCAATCTTTGTTTGCTCTGGTTTCTTGCTGTGTAATTTGTGCTGTGTGTTTTCTGCTCCCTCAGAGTAACATCAAATGTATCAAATTTTTCTAAAGGTTAATTAATCCATTGAGTTTAGATCCCTTCAATGTTTCCTCCCATGTATTGGCAACACAGATTTTTTGGCGCCAATTTAAATTCTCCATCTTGGAATCTTCTATGTCCAATATGGCTACCACTACATGTTGTATCTGTTTTTATATTTGCCAAACAAAAAAGTTTTCATATCTGTTGATAATTTAATCTTGCCGAAATTCACTTTAGAGCAATGTCAACTTTTGCAATTTTGTTCGAGGTTAGCAGGAAATCCCGAGGATTTCGGGCAAGCGCAGTGTTGTCTATGCGTGTATCTGCCCTTGTATTGGCAAGACTGATTTTTGATTTATTTGCCGCCAATTTAAACTATTTCATAAAACTCATGAGATTTCCCGAAAACCTTTAAACCAGATGACTAAAGCTCGTCTAACAACGGGTCATAGAAGGTTACCTGTGACGATAGAAATTATGAATGATGGAGTGGGTGTGAAGTTCAATCCTTTTTAAAAAGATGGTTCCTGCTCACAATAAACAACAACTTATTGTGAGTAGGAACCATCTTTTTGAAAAGGATTTTACCTGTGACGATGTTGGAAAAATTGTCCACATTTCCTTCATTTCGACACTTTCCGACGTCGTAAAGCTGACCTGTTCGCACCTCTCTAACTGACAAGATTTCAATCTGATACGAAAGCCTTCTCTTAAATTTTCGCCTTGTGTTATACAAGGCGTGTTGTCTGTCGTCTATTTTCCATTGTAAAATATTTAAAAATCTGGTGTAGGTTGGACCAATTCGATCTTGAACTTATTAAAAAGCTGGTTTAATTTTAAAAAGCAAGTCTAAATCGCGTATTAATATATTTATCTATACTTCCAATCCGATGGTCGTTGAATATAGAAGAGAAACAGCCACCCTCGGGCACTACTCTTATTGGACCTTGACAAAAAAAACTGATTATCGAAAACAATGATAACGCCACATGCCATGAGAGAATTGACCATTGAATTCGCAGGAGGGTCAGTGAAAAAGAAGGAATAACCGTGACGAATCCGAATTCCATTTTGACATCCTTGAGCGTGAACAGCGGATGAAGTTTTCCTATTCTTGACAGGGCAGTATGCGTAAATTTGCGTTAAATTGAAATACAGACAATTGAAATCCGATAAACATAAATATGACTCTTTTAATTACCTTCCAACATTCCCAGGGGCGATGAAGTAAACAAAGTCATTATGGAAGAACAATAATCACATGCCACGACCAAATCACATCAACATAAGTTGATGACAAAAATATTTAATAAAATATTAAAAACTAACTTGATCACAGTAGGGTTCGGGACTTAGAGAGTTCATATCGGCTCCATCTTAGGCCGACAAGTCGACCTTTTCATTGCCTCTTTTCTCCTAATGCCCAGGGTCTCTACCAGGGTGAGGTCATTGGTGTCTATAACTTCTCACAGGGCCTCCATGCAATTCCAGAAACTCTTTGGCTTCAAATCGCAGGAGGCTGGGGTTTTCACGTTTTAGTACTGCCTAATCGTCAGAAAAGATGGCTATCTTACGGCAATGTATCCCTAGAAGTTTTATTTCCCAGGAGCAGCGTTCAATCGCTATAGAAGGATGTTAAAAACAACCCGTACAGAACGCTAACTCGAAAGTGTCCTGAACCCTACTGCGGCTTAGCATCCTGCCACAAAAGACATCTTAAAATGGATCCTTAGTGAGTATAATACCACAGGTATGAGGCACGGGAAGAGGTTCATAAAAGGACCATCCGCAAAACTTACAGAAGTATTACTGGAAGGCAACCGCAACCGAGCCAGGATTCTGATTGGACTCCTATCAGAGGACTGCCACTTAAGAAGGCATATGCACCGGATAGAACCACAGACAGAAGAAATACTGTTCAGATTCTGCCAGGGAGAGGAGGAGACCGCAGAACACATTTTAAGTTTCTGTGAAGGTCTATGTAGGTGCAGGTTCTTGCAACTAGGACAAGAAAAACCTCAAGCATGATCCTGCACTAAGGAGTCGCTGGCAAAGCTAAGGAGGCTGATTAACAACCGGAACCTGGCCAGTGAGTTACAAATAACAGGGGAGTACAATAGATATAGTCAGGTCTTGTGGCCGCCTCTTTTATCCCTATCCCTAACTTGAAAGTACTCGGAAGAACACAACAGGCAAAATATGGTAACTTGGGTATTTCAGTAATGTTCTACATCACCTGAACATAGGAACTGCTAAGAATTCTAGATGGAAAAACTTAAACATTTTAATAAAATTTCTAATATTCGTCTATACCTAACGCCATAAATTTACCCGGTAAGATGGAATTTATTTAAAATTCAAATTAAACTGATGCCCCACGCCTGGGCCGAATTCGTCTTTATACAGGGTGTTGCTATCCTTCCCTCATAGGGCCCACCTCACAGTTTGAGTGATTAACCGTCGCCATTGTTATTCCTTTTGGGCAATGGCCACTGAAAGGGCGACCGGCCGTGCTATAAATTACAGGGGCAAACGCTATTTTTGACTTTGAAATAATTGTAGGGGGCTTTCTCCATTGTGGGTTGAATACCTGCGGCCAGTTGGGCGATAAAGGCAAGGTTGAGAATTACTTTTCCGGAAATAAGGTAGGCCGCCACTATATTTTTGTATTCCTTTTATTCCCGGCCTACTAACTATAATATACAGTTTGACACCTGTCCCTTAATTAAGTCCCAATTAGTTCTGCTTGAGCGGTAATAGTAAAAAATATAACAATAAAGAAATAATTAATCAAAACACCCTTTGAGAAAGTTATTCTACCATACTACTTATTCTGTTCCTTTATTATTTCATGTTTCTTGAGTTAAATTCAAATTGTCATCGATTGATCGTAATGCGCCGTAAATAACGAAAATACAATTTACTATGTTTTTTTGTATATTTTTGAACATCAAAGATTTCTTCTTGGGATCTGAGGATGAACCTTGGTCTACATTGCGTGTGCTAGCAGCTAAAGATGAGAAAAACGACTCTTTCTAAGGATCGGATTAAAACACCTCACTCAGTGAAATTAATCAGCTCTTTTTCCTACCACAACATTCGAGCTCACCAAATTTATCTAACCCATAATTCCATGGGTAAACTTTGGCGGGTTTTTTGAGTTTCAGCTTGTCAGCGCCAGGACCAATTGTAAAGGTTGATTGTCCGAATTACAGGGTTGTTGTATGAAAGAAATGACCAACTGTTCATGAATGACCAATGAATTTCAATTTAAAAGAAAATTTACAAATGTAGGAAATCAAGAAGGTTGAGCAGTTTGTCGTTCACATAACCATTGTCAACCTAGTAAATTTATTACCTTTTTCAAAACAAAAATGAAAATACTGAGTTGAGAATCTGGAGAGTAAAGTGGTAGTAGCGAAGAGGTGTAAGATAGAAGAGCTGTAAGAGAGAAGAGCAGTAGAAGCGAAGAGCTGTAGGAGTTAAGAGCTGTAAGAGAAAAGAGAAGAGCTGTGTGGAAGAGGAAAGAGCTGTAGGAGCGATAAGTTGCAAAAGCTAAGATCTGTAGGAGGTAAGAGCAGTAGAAGCGAAGAGCTGTAGGAGTTAAGAGCTGTAAGAGAAAAGAGAAGAGCTGTGTGGAAGAGGAAAGAGCTGTAGGAGCGATAAGTTGCAAAAGCTAAGATCTGTAGGAGGTAAGAGCTGTAAGAGCTAAGAGCTGTAAGGGCTAAGCCTGTAAGAGGAAAAAGCTGTAAGAGCTGAGCCGTAAGAGGAAAGATCTTCAGGAGCAATGAGTTGCAAGAGCTAAGAGCTGTAGGAGCAAAGAGTTGTAAGAGGAAAAAGCTGTAAGAGGAAATAGCAGTAAGAGCGATGAGTTGCAAGAGCTAAAAGCTGAAGGAGTGAAGAACTGTAAGAGGAAAGAGCTTTAGGAGCGATGAATTGCAAGAGCTGTGAGCTGTAGGGGTGAAGAGCTGTAGAAGGGAAAAGCTGTAAGAGTTCTAGGAAGGAGCGAAGAGCTGTACTAATGAGAGATGAGCGGTAGGAAAGAGCTAAGAGCTGTAGGAACGAAGAGCAGTAGGAGGAAAGAGCTGTAGGAGCGATAAGTTGCAAGAGCTAAGAGCTCTAAAAGCAAAGAGCTGTTAGAGTTAAGAGCTGTAGGAGTGACGAGCTGTAGGGGTGACGAGCTGTAGGATTGAATAGCTGTATGCGCGAAGAGTTGTAGGAGTGAACAATATTAGTAAGGGCTGAAGAGCTGTGGGAACATAACAGGTCTGACGAAAACAGCGAAAATAGATAGACAAAATTATAATAAACTTAATGACAAATCGGTTTATCGGTTGGAAGACGTTGAAGATGTCAACTATGCCATGTTTCAAAAAAATTGTATAGCTTTAAAAACCACTTTCCGACGAAGTTGACCTTTCCTCTATAAAACCGCAATTGTGGGAAAGTTTAGGATTTGTGATTAAGAGCTTAACTTAAGAGCTTCCTTGTTCCGGCCAGAAGCTACTCCGGCGAATTGTATAGATTTCATGTGTAGGTATTTTTTGACAATTCTTCAATTGAGCATCTCTTCTTCTCGGAGAGAGTGATGTTTGGACAAAATGGCGGCAAGAGGTCTTATTTCGAAAATCAATCATGGCCTCTATGTTGGAAAATCGCGGATAATTTCTTCAGAATATTGTTAAGCTTGACTTGGATGGAACGTCGTATGTCCAACTAATTCGACACCATCGACCACCTCCATCCTAGGCTGAGACTGGAGTTATCAATCGAGGAATTATTATTAGTCAGACAAAATCTCCAAATGTGAAAAATTCCTCTCGGTGCACTAAGCTAATCTTGACAGTCGAAGACGTCCTGTTATTGCTGGACGCCTTAAGGGAGCATGTGAAGTTATACCAACCCAACAGTTTGGTTATATAATGGTCAATTATTAATTATTCCGAAATCGTGAGATGCGGTCACGACACGCAAGAATGGCACAATTACACAGAAGACAAACACTTTGAGCCCTGAAGATGATCTCAATAAAGATCGAAACGTTGGCACGATAAAGAAAATGATTTTTCTGAAACCTACATCACACCGGACCGCATCTCACGATTTCCGAATAATTATCGATTAATGGTCACTAATAATCTCCTATATAATGGACGTTGGATTTGTTAATTGCTTCAGTTATATTACACCAAATATATTCGACACATGTGTTTAAATGTTCTGGCCCCCTAATTAGCAAAAATTAAGAGTTATCTCCGACAAGGCAGTACCGAATAATAAATGAATCGGTTTTTCTATCCCAGAGGCACCGGGCAAAAACGCGCCGGTTAATTCTGAACGAAGGCATAATCTTGGTTGTTTTTGAGAGAATAGGGCATCAACAGCTGAAGAAAGTATCATTTAATTCTCTCTAATTGATAGCAACGGCCGGAAAACCAGTGCAGCTGGAGGTAACATTAGTGAATGGATACCATTAACGAATTGCACCTTATACATTCTCAGCCTTATTATTTTTTTTAAGAGCTCATCTATTAATTTAACGTATCGTGATCTGGACGAGATCCAAGGTCCGAGATAAGCTGGCGTGTAAAGCCTTATAAAAAAATACTACAATTATGTTAAATACGGAATTATGTCTTATGTTAATTCATAAAAACGGCCTTCGGGACGGAAAGAGGTGGAAACGATGTTTTGGGAAATCACGCACGTATTTTCGTAAATTTTTGTTTTGACCCAGAACCACCTGTATCGTTTGTCTCTTCTCAAATTTATTTCAAATATACACCAAAAGACGGAATATACAGCTATATTCTAGAAATGGTCTACAAGGCGTGTGAAACTCATTTCCATTGTGAAAATATGGAAGCCAGATACCCGCAACAGGAAGCGACGTTTTGGACGCGCTGTCATATGCCGAACATATCAGTTGGCATGATGTCCTTTTAATATTGGGAGTAACTTTCCTTAAACGGGTTTTCTGATTTATAACGTATTTCATTTTCGTAATAAACCCATGATCCTTAAGAACAGAACTTTATTCCTACGAGTCCTTCACCAGACCAATCAACCCAAATATGCTTAGTCCTGTAGAGTAGGTGCTCGGAACGATGTTTAATAACACGTGTTACTTCCAAGTCCCAAGGCTGATCATCAACATATCCTCTCCTTCTTCCTAAAGAATACCATCCCCGAGCTACCTGGGATAAGTTCTACGGTAATTGGAGAGATTCTTAACTCTTTATGGCCCAATGTTGTCATAGAACAATACGAACCTTAGACATTTGGTTTAAAGGTTAGCGGGAAATCCCGGAAGTTTTGTAATAGAGGTTAAATTGGCGGCAAATAAATCAGTGTTGCCATTACTCGCGCAGAAACAGAGACAACATTACGCCCGCCCTGAACTCATGGGATTTCCTGCTAACTAACCTCGAATAAAATTGCTAAATTTGGCTTGCTCTGAAGGAAGTTTCGGTAAGAAATGGCTAAACTATCAACTGGATATGAAAAGTTTTGTGTTTGGCAAATATAACAATTGATACAAGATGCAGTGGTGGGGTGAAGATCCATGTTGGAGATAGAAGATTCCAAGATGGAGATTTTATACTGGTGCCAAAAAAATCATTGTTGCCAATACAAAGGTGAAACATTGAAGGAAAATCACTGCACCCGGCTTAAACTCATGGGATTAGCTAAGCTTTTTGATCAATTTGATGTTACCCTGAGGCAGCGTTGACAAGAAAGGGTTAAGTTAGTCCACCAAAACTATATGTAGGTCATAGGTCACAGGTCATGATTAGTAAAAAAAACTCAGAAGAACTGACCCTAAGGGTGAAGTTAAGTAAAGGCCTTAGTTTAAAGCATTTCAAAGTAGAATTGATTCAGGGTGTTGGTCGTCATGTTGAACGGGCACTGGGTCACTTATACCCAAACAACTATGCGTTTCAACCTTGTAACATCTTCAGTTAGGGACTTTAGAAACTCGTTTGAGAATAATAACGCAATGTACAACTATTAAGAAATAACAAAATTTAACAAAAATGCACTTGCCAAAATGCATTGAAAGGCGCTGAAGTATCATGTACCTGGGCAAAGGGACTCAACGCTTCGCGGATACCCCACTTCACTCACCCTCCTTGCGGCCTTACGACCTCCACCTTCGGCAGAAACATAAGCTGCGGAAATCCACCGTACTTCGGGTTTCACCAGGGTCTCATCGAGCTGGTATCGCCTCTTTAGATTAGGTCGCACTAGGGAACCTTAACAATGTCACCCCGTATAGGCAAAAGTCCAGAGGTCTTAAAAAGGTTATGTGTATCGCCTGTACTTCATGAAGATGAAACGCCAAAACGCATCTGACAAACCAGCCCATAGGATAGCCAGACCAAAATGATCTGTAATGATCAAATAACATGTTCATATACAGACTATATCACGGAGAAGGCAGGGTGTGCTATAACCTCTCAAAAATGCTAACATTTCTAAACGAATTCTCCGTTTAAAATTAGGAAATATGTGTACAATGTGTTGTATTTTCATGCTTGTTTCGCCCATAAGCGTTTCGACTTCACGTCATCTTTAGGGAGGAGCTGTTCCACTAAATAAATCAGTATAGATTAATTAAAATATTAATATTCCAGAGCTTCAGTATACAAGGAAACTTCTGACCTCTTAATCTACATAAATATAAACCAAAACGTCTAAAATCCATTTTAACGTAATTTTATTAAGGATGACATGTCCTCCTTATTTGACAGGTGGCGTGACCCAGTGATAGTCTTGCTTTTGATTTAAAAAAAAATAGGGCGCGAAAGCTTTCAAGTTGATTTTGAACTGAAAAGTGTGAAATTTTCATGATCGCCTTTCATTTTAAAAAATTTTTAATTGAGCTCAACCCCAAAAAAGCTACTTTCAGGACGAGATAATAAGGGATGCTTTCTATGATAATTAAACGTTCGTGCTTCTAAGTGTCCTTTAACACAGAATAGACACGACTCCGTCATTACAAGTCCTTCCGTTTCCAAGTTAATTATCATGACATTTTGGATTTTTTTTTAAACCCATCTCATTTGCTCGTTAAGGTCTATACGACAGATTGGCTAGGTAGAGCATTCCCGAGCTAACATATCCGCTATGTCTCGAACCATCATCAGTAATGTTTTTTTTTTTTTTCAGGTTCAACATTATATTTTTGTCGTGGAGGCCGAGGACGGTGGGAAACCGGCTTTGTCCTCTACTGTATCAGTCTACATCAACGTGCTCGACGTCAACGATAACGCGCCACTTTTTGACCCGATGTCTTACAGCAACGAGGTCTTCGAAAATGCGACCATCGGGACGAGCGTCGTGACAGTCACTGCTACCGATCTCGACTCAGGTAATTTGTTTAGAACCTACTAGACACAGTTGGCCATTAAATTTTAAGTCGGGAATTTATTTAGCCTAATGTTTTCTAGGCTACATGAACGTAGACATTTGTCCAAGTTTGTTAAAGTTTGAACCAATGGTGCATCTGTTATCGCAGGTCCCCTAATTGTCAGATCAGTCGTGCGCCGTTCCGTCAGAGTTGATTCACCCTGTACACTTTGCATGAAAGTGGCGGTCCCGGGTCCGCTGAGAACTGTAAAGTTATCATTTTATTAAAAGCGAGAGGAGCGGGACCGCCTCGAGGCCCGGCCGGGAGTGTCTGCCCCCCGGCCGCACCTCTACATCATAGCTCACTGTTAACATTGTGATAATCTATGTAAATTAGAGGTGGCCCACCCATCAGATAAATTTGAAACGCAATCTGGAATCGAGTCGGCCTGACCCGTAAACTCGCCTCCTCCAACCGCCGAGAATAGATTTTTCTTTTTTAAGATTCAAACTGAAATTTTTCCCTGGTCCAACGATCCATCTCGCTCCATCCATTATATAAATTTCCTCCCATTACACTAAACCATCTGTCAACCTCTTGAATAACAAAGCTACAATCCCCAAAGGGTTATTAGACGTTAAGTCTTCCTGTATTGAACAATTCGGGCGTACAACCATAAATAATAAAATCAGACGCTCATTCTTAGAAATGGGGACTGACTATATGATCCCGAAAACATTCTTAACAACATCCCATAAAGACTCAACGGCCTATAAAGGGGAAGAAGAACACAGGAGAGCTTCAGATACAATATGGTATACAGATGGCTTCACAACAAACGAAGGAACCGGATCGGGCATTTTCTGTACAAGCCCAAAACATGAGCAATCAAACTCATTAGAGAAGTACACTTAGGTCTTTCAAACAGAAATGCTTGTGCCCTAGAAAATCTTAAAAGAGGTTATACTGGCAAATTTTCTTAAGATCTGATAGTCAAGCAGCCATTAAAACATTAGCGTGTAAATGAACCACATCAAAATTAGTCAGTGAATGCATCCAAAAGCTCCAAAACCTGGGGAAATACAACAACCTGATGATATCTTGGGTCCCAGGGCACGAAGGAATTTTGTGCAACGAGAAAGTAGCCAGACTGGCTAGAGGAGGCAAAATCATAGGCCCCGAATCTAAACCTGGAATAATACAAACCAATATAGAATCTTCCATTGCAGAATGGATCCAAACAAAAGGAGAAGTGGATAAACTCTACAGCGCTAGAGACAGTAAACTTATGATGAAACAACCCTCACCAAGACTGGCAAAATCACTGCTCAATTGAAAAAGGATACTCAGAAGAGTGGTACTACTAACCGGTCACTGGCATCTGAGAAAACATCTGCACTACATGGCATATACATCGACGATCCCATCTGCAGATTATGTAATGAGGAGGAGGAAACAGCCACCCATATTATCTTTGAAAGCGAAGCTTTAAGATCAAGATTTAACATAACAAACAAAAAAATGCACCCTTTTACGAATCAGGTCAGTCCTGAGGCAGATTCAGTTTATACCAAGTGACACCACTTGTTTTCTCATCCAAATCACATACCTGGCCAATTTATGCAGGCTCGTTAAACAGAATGCAGAAAAGCATCGGGTCGTGTATCTCAAGGCTTAGTTCGGGAACCTACACTTTTTAACGCTTATTATTCAAACTTGACACAACTAGAGTCAGTCCTGTGACCGATTCAGTTTAACAATACAGAGTGTCACCACTTGTTTTCTCATCCAAATTGCATACGTAGCCAAACTGATGCGGGCTTGTAAAACAATTAGGAATAAAAGCGACGCGTGGTGTTCGTCAAGCGTTAGTTCGTGAGTTCATATTATTGAAACTTGACACAACAAGGGTCAGTCCTGAGGCCGATTCAGTTTAACTATACAGAGTATCTATTACAGTTCGTGGCCCGATTGACCAATTAATATTTTTCAATTAATTAATATTTATGAAAGGTATTGGTTAAGATAAAAAAGTCAGTGTCACGAGCGGGATTCGAACCCACGACCTTCGGCTAAATACGCTGCTACTCTACCACGAGCTATCGTGACTTCGATCCGCTCGGACACAACTTCCTATCTCAACCTCACTCTCGAATTTTCCCTCCTTTTTGCCATTGTTCAATTTTTTTCCATTTATACAGAATATCACCACTTGTTTTCTCATCCAAATTGCATACCTGGCCAAATTCATGCAGACCCGTTAAACAGAAGGCAGAAAAGCAATGCGTGGTGCATCTCAAGGGTTAGTTCGGGTTTTTAACGCTTATTATTGGAACTTGACACAACAAGGGTCAGTCCTAAGGCCGATCCAGTTTAACTATATCGAGTGACTCCCCTTGTTTTCTCATCCAAATTGCATACCTGGCGAAATTCGTTTAGGCTCGTTAAACAGTAGGCAGAAAAGCATCGGATCGTGTCTCTCAAGGCTTAGTTCGGGAGCCTACACTTTTTAACGCTTATTATTGAAACTTGACACAACTAAAGTCAGTCGTAGGGCCGATTCAGTTTAACTAAACAGAATATCACCACTTGTTTTCTCATTCAAATTGCAAACCTGGCGGAAAAGGAATGCCTGTTGCATCTCAAGGGTTATTACTGAGATTTAATAGTAGAAAAAGCAGATTGGATTTATTTTCGAGGAAACGTTTAATTTTTAATCATGAATCAACGCATATTCGTCAAATATTAGTAGGAAAATTCTTTTAATTGTTTCAATTATATAATTAGACTTATTCAAGTGTACCGAATTAAGTCCTGAGTTCTGTTCTCGACTTTATACTTTAGTATATTAAGCATTAAAAACGCACGGATTGGGCTATTTGCTTTAATCATCTTTATTTGTTTTCCTTACGAAAAAGGGCGAATATTAGCTGATGTCAATCGCAAGTTAACAATTTGGTGACGTCAATGGACATAGGATGTCCACCTTCTTCACAGGCAGTTAAGTATTTCCTTTAACATGTAACTCTTGTAAGTAATTCCTATCAACCAATTTAATAAACATTCCGTTAAGCGTGTTCAAAGGTTGTTTGATCGCATGGGCAGAGTCGAGGTCGAGTTCGGATCGGATATATAAGAATGTCCGAGAACCGCCTATCTCCTGGATCTTTGAGAGCGGGACGAATTTGTCGCACGTCTTATTATGCCGTCTGATATTTGTCCCACTATTTGTCTCTCGTCCCTCTCGTCTGATAGATGTCTTTCCTCTTCAGAACCTTAATGACTGACTCTCCCCGTATAAAACTTGAAAAATTCTAGCTCTTTTAAAACCGCCTGGCTAAATATATAAAGGTCGGCTTCAACACAATTTATTCCCTCGTTTTGTTCCCCTCTTCAAGATCCATCTTTTTCTTTCTAGATGTAAGATTTCTCCAAAGTGTTTCTTCTTATTATAATATATCTGAACCTGTATCATTTGCTTCATATTCTATTTATTTAAACGTTATCTTTTTGAATACGCCTGCTTGAGGTATTATGTACCAGAAAAATTTATGTTATTTTACGTACAACTTCAAAATTAAACAACATAATCTTGAAAAATAAGTTTGTTCAGGGATTCGAATTATATATTCAGAATCTACGACAGAAATTTATAAAAAAAATTCTTAACATCGTAGTGGTTATGTATTTGGATGGGTTTCTAGACCAGATAGATTTCTAATGGTTATAATAACCGTAAATTTCGATCAAATCCAGGAGAGGTATGAATTATTAAATACTGGACATCATCTGGACAAAATATTGCACCCAGTGAATCTAGACAAAAAATATTTGATGTTGTGTGTCCTATGAAAAATCAAATTTAAAGGTTTTAAAGAGTATTTAAAACGAATTCAATTTTTTTCGAAAACAATTATGTTTGGCCTACTTTACTGGTAGCAGCATTTCGTGTTTTTGTAACACTTTTATATCTTTTCTCATTTTAAACAATCCTGCATATCATTTTCTTATCCTAGGTTTAAAAAAACAAAAATAATCATAAATAACCTAGAAGTGTATGCACAACAAAAGCAGTTCCTCATGGAGGATGGCCAGAACATTTTTTTCAACAAAAATGGGTTTTTGTACAACAAGTAAGTTTTTGGCTTACTTTACAAAAAGAATCTTTTGGTTTTGTAACTTTTTTTATGGTTATTCTTATTTCAGACCATCACACATATTATTTTCTTATCTAAAGCAAAAAATCAAATGTAACAATAAATAATGACCTAGAAGTGTATGCTCAACAAAAAAATCCAAATAGTATTTTTTCATACAAAAATATTTTTTTGACTTACTTTACTGAAAGAATCTTTGGGTTTTGTAACTTCTTTTTATGGCTATTCTCATTTCAGACGATCACACATATTATTTTCTTATCTAAAACAAAAAATCAAATGTAATAATAAATAATGACCTAGAAGTGTATGCTCAACAAAAAAAGCCAAATAGTATTTTTTCAACAAAAATATTTTTTTGACTTACTTTACTGAAAGAATCTTTGGGTTTTGTAACTTCTTTTTATGGCTGTTCTCATTTGAGACGATCGTACATATTATTTTCTTATCTAAAGTAAAAAAACTAATGCAATAAAAAAATAATAACCTCGAAGAGCATGCACCACAAAAGCAGTCTCTCATTGAAAAAAGCCAGATAGTATATTTTTTACCTTTTTGACTTACTTTAATGAAAGAATCTTTTGGTCTTGTAACTTTTTTTATGGCCATTTGGCGTCTTGTAACCTTTTTTATGCCTACTCTCATTTCGAATGATCGTACGTATTATTTTCTTGTCGAAAGTAAAAAAAACAAACAAAGGTAATAATAAACAATAAACTAGAAGTATATACACAGCAAAACCAGTTCCTCATCGATGATGGCCAGATAGTATTTTTCAAAAAAATGTTTTTCGTCTTATTTTGCAGATAAAAAATCTTTTGGTTATGCAACTTTTTTTTCTATTCTCATTTTAGGCGATAGTGC